TCAACAGACCGACCGTAATACGGAACCGATCCACCTCTCAGAGATGTAGAGTAATAGCTTCTGAGCCCTCAATGTCAACTCTCATCCCATGAATCATCGTGACGATTGGAGAGAAAGGAAATGTTCCTGATCCGATGCTGCCGATGACGTCGTGACACGTGCGGCGCCCGCCTTGGGTTGGTCTCTCTCTCCGGTCCTCCACCAGGCAATATCACATCAACCTTCCCATGGCGGCCTTCAGGTTCACCCGGAAGCCTTGATCTACTCCTCGATGACTTTTCTGGGTCCGAAAAGGCTTTCCCTTGCATGATAATATGAGGACGGCCACCCTCTTTGGCCGTTTCTTTTGGTGCCGAGGTGGTGGAAGTCCGCAACTACTAACCCGCTTTGCAACGCCATTTCGGTTCCGCTCAAAACATACGCCATGGCCTCCAGGTCCGTGGAGATCATTTCACAGGAAGGCGCCCGTTGGAAGAACGGTACTGTTTGCGGCTCTGACGCCGGTCGCCTTCTTAGAGTTGGCGGAGAATGGAGATGGTCATGACAAGACTGGCGAGATGCAGATGCTAGAAGTTTCGCGTCAAGAGATTCGTAAAAGTGTCTCCGAGGATGCGCGCGGCTTGACGAAACTCTGTCAAGAACTCTTTGTCTTTTGGTACTGCTACATATACGACCCAATCGCTACGGGTTTTCGGTTCGTCCATTTGGCGTTTGTTTTCATTCCTGTTATCATTACAGTGCCTGCTATATGGTTTGGACGGCGACTCGAAGGTGGAAAGGGGGAGCGGGCAGGAGCCGTTTGGTGGTACAGCTTTCTAGTTCGGTCAATGGAGCGTGCTGGTCCAGCCTTCATCAAGGTGAGCGCCCATCGTACATGAGTTGGCTACCAGGCGCTTACTGACTACCTCCTAATAGCTCGGACAATGGGCTGCGTCGCGCACCGATATCTTTCCGCCGGAAATGTGCAACATTATGTCTTCACTACATTCCCATGCTCCTGCGCATTCGTTGCATCAGACTAAAAAGACGATAAGCAAGGCTTTCAATGGTCTACCATTTGAGGAGATTTTTGAGGAGTTCTACGAGGAACTGCTAGGAGTTGGGGCTATTGCTCAAGTATACAAGGCAAAGCTCAAACCGAGCCTGGCTGTGATGGACGATCAGGCTCTGACCCTTGAGGACAGAAGCTTCCGCGGAAAGGTAAGAAAGAATGTCGATGTTCTGGTAAAGAGTTCGCCTCGACGGGTTCCGTCATCCTACGTAGCCATTAAAGTGCTCCATCCAAAGGTTGAGCGCGTGATCCGAAGGGATTTGCGAATCATGTCTTTCTTCGCATCGCTGATTAATGCCATCCCCACAATGCACTGGTTGTCCTTGCCAGACGAAGTACACCAGTTTGGGGAGATGATGAAACTACAACTGGACCTCAGAATCGAGGCATCCAACCTTGTGATCTTTCGCCAGAAGTTCAAATCACGAAACACCGCTTGGTTTCCCTACCCATACTTGGATTACACCACACGCGAAGTACTTGTCGAAGAATTCGCCCAAGGGATCCCCTTGGAGACTTTCTTGGACGTTGGAGGGGGTGTTTACCAGCAAGAGATCGCAAACGAAGGTCTGGACGCGTTCCTTCATATGCTTCTGATCGACAACTTTGTTCACGCTGATTTGCACCCGGGGAATATAATGGTCCGATTTTATCAACCGGCTGAGCTAGATTTATCACTCGGCAAGCGCAGTCGGGTTTCAGATGCGCCAACTGCCGCCGAAGCTGATGTAACCGAGACTGTACTGGCACGATTGAGGCCGCACGCCCATAATCGGGAGGCCTGGAACGCTGCTCTTTCCCAGCTGAATACTGAGGGCTATCGCCCCCAGCTCATTTTTATCGACACTGGCCTAGTGACCCAGCTCAACGAGACCAACCGGAGAAACTTCCTCGATCTGTTCCGAGCGGTAGCCGAGTTTGACGGGTTCAGAGCGGGCCAATTGATGGTTGAACGGTGCCGTCAGCCGGAAGAAGTCATCGACGCGGAGGTCTTCGCGCTGAAAATGGAGCACCTGGTCTACAACATCAAATCCCGGACATTCGCATTAGGCAATATCAAAATTGGGGACGTGCTGAGCGAGGTCTTATCCATGGTTCGAAGCCATCACGTTCGGCTCGAGGGCGATTTTGTCAATGTTGTCATCTCTATCCTTCTTCTCGAAGGCATCGGTCGAAGTCTGGATCCAGCCCTGGATCTCTTCAAGAGGTAGGTTGATTCTTTTGTCTCTCTGTTGATATCAGGGGTCTTCTCGGCCCAACTATTCCACAATCCATGACTAATTCAAACAGTGCTCTTCCGATCTTGCGGCAGCTTGGTTCCGGTGCGACTCTTCTCAGCTCCGTCCGTTCGGGCGATACTTCGATGCTTCGTGTCTGGGTTGGTCTCGAGGCGCGTGGCCTCCTCCAGGCTAGTATTGAGAGTGTGGAGCAGTGTGTGAAATATGACCTGTTGTCTCCAAACATATAACGGACGGAGAAACAGCGGCCCCTCACGTTTCATCTAGAATTGTTTTTCTACTTACACAAAATTCGGACACTGGCCGGAGTCCAAAGGTAATATTTACGTTTCCAGGTCTTACGGGTACTGCCTCGATTATGCGATGCAAACGCTGCAATGATTGATGCTTCAAAGTCAGTTCTCGAGATTTTCAGAAGTTGCCAGCTGATTCCTCCAGTCGACTGCAGCAAGCTCAAGCAGTCTCTGGTCGTCAAGAGTGAGAGCCTCACTCAATCGATTTCCAAACCCAGTGATATTCATGAAACCCTGCTCCTGTCATATAAAGGTTCTTCGCCGTACTACTGCTGATGGTGGTTTGGCTCGTGATATGTACATTGACTCGATGAACAAATAGTGATCTAGTTAAATAGACATCCCAACCATGCATACTCGTCTGCGATCAAAAAAGGAAATCGATCGCTCCTACGATTTTGTGCTCGGTAAATTAGAAGTGTCTGTGTATATATGCTCTTGCGACACATTAATATTTCTGTATAGTACAATGCCCTAGAGACCGGTGAGAGGAGATGGCGGAAGGAAAACAGAGAAAAGCATATGAGCCCATACTCAAACAAGACCGGATACCACTAAACTCCATTACCAATTGCTTGTATAAGCAGGAACGCGCATTCAAGCATGTGCACGTGAAGCGAAGAGATGAATAACAGCAAAAGAAGTGATGTCGAGAATTGAATGGTTCGTCCAACTGTCAGAGTCGCCCGCGCTCTCAAGTATTTCCCCATAAGAAAAATGTCGGTTCATCCAATCGTACGCTTTTGCGTGTTGGCCGCAGAGCGTGTTATTATGGATTATTGTTCTCTCGCACGGCACCGCCGCTGGCTCTCCACCAAACGTCGCCGCCCCATCTCATTAGACGCTCAACGGCCGCCGTTGGGGTGTCTAAAGCTGGTCTGATGTCGAGGTAGAATACTGGCTCACCAGTTGGCTCGGGAGGACCGGAATAGTAATCAATCACGTAGCGGACTTCTTTGGGACCAGACGGCGTCTGTCGCAGGACAAACCAATCATGGCGATCAAAAGGTGGATTTGTTCTGTAGGATATTCCGTGTAAGCACGGTCTCAAAGTCAATGGAAATCATTCTCACTCACTCAAACTTCGCGGGATACAGCCGTCCTAGAGCTTGAAGTATTTGCGCCTTGGGGGTAAGCTCTTGTGGCCGACCCTTGAACCTGAGGAGTCGAGGTTCACTGGCTGGATCGATATTTCCGGTCATCTCCTGCTTCATTGCTTCTAAGGCAATGCCTTGCTCTCCCTTTCGGCACTTTTCCCATGCTTGCCCCAGGCCTTTGGCAAATATGCGCTCCCATCCAACTATTTCAGCCCAGGCACCTTCATTCAGGAAATTGTGGACCGCCACCATAGCTTCGACGGCATCCTGTGGCGTGTCGGTGTAACCTTTACGGAGCATGGCGTTGTACATTTGCTGGGGGGAGGGGTACTCCCATGTGCCGTCTGCATCGCCTCTAGGTATGGAGGAAGGCTCTCGTTCCACCGGCAGGTCTACAGTTTGATTCGGTGCTCGCTCTTGAGAAATCGAGGAGAACATGTAGTTAAGAGGGTTCAGCTTTGACAAAGTCGATCTAGTTTCGGGAGCGGGAGGCCGAGGAGAGTCCGTCACGGTAGTTTTCGACTGTACATAGAACGGAGAGTCTGCGGACCGAACAGGGCAGGAGCTGGAGGTATCAGACCGAGCAGACGGCGAAGACAAGGCTGGAGGAGCGTTGGAAGCATGCATGGGACATCCTGGCTGCATGAAGTTGATTAGAATGTTTCTGGGAGGTGCCAACAGGATCTTGTACTCACTGGAGGGGACGCATCAGAGGAAGCCAGAGGATTTGGTGCCACAGGCGTTGGCTTTGGCTGCGGATCTGCCCAAAACCAACCCATATTGGAGGTGCTATTACAGTATAAATAGCAAAGAAGAAGATATTGAGGCTGAAGATTTAATTTCAAATTCGCTCGAGTGTTGAAGCACGGATGAATCAATGGAGTATATTTCCTACAGTTTAACATCCAAAAAACTTTCGGCCAGATGACATAATAATAATGTCCGGCAAGAAATAACTAGATCCTCGGATAAATCGGTCCGTAACCTTATCATGTCCTTATCACGTGATTATATAAATCAACGAGCCAATCATGTTGATGGCATACGGAAGAGAGGATGAGGAAATCCACCAGCTGTGATGGATGAGGTATACAGGCATTTATCCATTACGGCAGCGATGTTTAGTTGCTATGAATTTCGCTTCTGATTCAATTCACTTGATAATATGCTTTGATCTTTCACTACACTAAGGCATGCTTAGAGGTCTAAGTCGGTATAGCTCGGATTTCATGGCTTTGATAGCTTTATATACGCTTTGCTACTTGGAGTGTGACACAAAATGAATGCTTCTGGGTACCCAAATGCTGCCTGGAAATCCAGATCAGTCCCATGGCGATGAGCTGGAACACATCCCGATACATCGTTCCGAAAGGACTCCGATTACAGCCTCCTCCCAGGCTGATTTCCAGATTGCTCCGTGAATATCAGGTAGATAGAAATAGTCCGCCAAAACGTCCGCTACATGTTCCCATTTCTGCCAGCCACGAAGCATGGCCAACTGAGCAAGCCGGTCAATGAACCAGGAATGTTCCACCTGTCCGGCTGAACCTTGAGCCCCGATGAATAGCATCCACGCGAGTAGTCCGTATATGTCCTTGGGAGACTTTGGTCCTAATAATAGTGAGCAACTGCTCATAGATGCTTTCAAGTGCTTAGTCAGGGCGCGACCCAGCCCACTCGATGGTGGTGATACTATAAGAAACTGATTGAGAAAGCAGATACAGGCGACTCTGGTGGCAGCTTCAATAGGACTGATGTCCAGTTGTGTTCCAAAAGGTGAGCTTTGATGGCCATCGGTGTATATATAAGAAAGGAGCCGGTGTTCAGTCTCGCAATTTACCACGCGAAAAAGCTCATGATCCTCAGGATAAACAGAGGCGGGTCTCTTCCTGTAGGCCTGACTGTAAAGAACTATATCACGCATCACATGTAAGATTCTCAGTAGAGGAAGACTGAGAAGGTTATTGGCAAAGAAGGCTGCACCCAGCCTCGTTAACACCGACGAAGCGGGTGGTCTAATCCGTTGTTGAACACTAGACGGAACTGGTCGGAAATCCCAGGGAAGAGGGAACAATGGCTTGGTCATGAGGCCCGACGCCGCTTTCACATCGGACCTGATCTCACAATTAACACGATCCCTGAATATTTGGGGTGCCACTACATACGTGATGATGGCTGCCAGCATCGAAGATTGGGTAATGCCATCTGCCATGAGGCCTCCCCGCAACTCCACCATGCGTTTCAAGCCTCCTAGATGTATTCGAGCTTCGTCGAACATGCCTATGATCAGCTGCGGAGGATTAGAAAAAAGACTCGACATCTAAATATGGGCATCTAGCGCAAGGTCGAAAGGAAGAGCTAGAGCAAGAAGGTAGCCCTTACTGTACTTGTCAGCAGATTGACCATCGTGTCAAACGATTCATCGCTCAGTGCACGATTAGAATCACACATTTTAGCGTTCATCTCTTGCATGCATCTGACTTTCATAAAATAGTAATCTGCGTCGGGTTCGATTTGGCGAGAGCTATCCGGTACACGGGAGAAACCGATGTGATATTCATCCAATACAGCTCTATGAGCCGCACACATAGTCATTAAACCAAAAAAGCTTCCTGGATCCGAGAATGCTGATTTGACCATCAATCCAGTCTCAGCCTGCTCGTTGATCATATGCTCCTCCGGAAACGTCATTGGAACAAAGACAGACTTCCCTTCTCGACGCTAAACGTTAGCCAGGTGTCGGAGGAATGTATCTCAAGTCTTCCTCCCGATTGCAGCTATTGCAGGAAGTTCTGCCGTGCCAACACCAGAAAGCTTCGTGCGGCAATTGATGGCACAGTGTGGTGAAGGTAAAAGACCAGAACACTCACAATAGAAGACGAGACGAGCAACCCTCGACGGGGCCTGATCGGCACCTGGCAGTGAAACAAATGGATCAAGAAGCCAAGATGGTGAAAAAGCCAGAGGGCTGGGCGCAGGAGTCGGTGGCGCTGAATAACCAGCTCTCCATACGATCGGTCGCCGTCGTCCTTGTACGGATCTAAGATGGCTATGGGCGGGATTGGAGTCTGCCAGCGAGGAAGATGCGGGTAATGGAGAAGCCACCCCTGCTTCTAACAGATACTCCGACGTGGCGCTTTCCACCTGCGGTGAAATCGACGTAGACGGTGAAGGTTGTTTTAGACGGGATTCGCGCTTTGGGACTCTCTTCAAGCCAGCAAGTCGCTCTCGCCTGCGCACGTCACGCATAACATGAGAGCGAATGGCTTTGCGCGCATTGGCGTCTTTAATTCTCTTGGAGCTCAGATCATCGTCATGGTCGATGAAGGTGAACATTGGGCGGTCAATCGCAGCAGGATGGATGGGGCTCGATGCTGGACGATTCGTAGTAAGCAACCGGATTATTCGATTTGACTTAATCTGACATCAAACTGCTATCCTGTAGTGTGTGACACCTGATTGATAGGAATATTGGTCGTGAAGCTGGGTATGCCAGCGAAGTAGCAATGGATCTGTTGCACAGAAACAAAGAATTTCATAGATTGCGGAATAAATCAGGGGAAAGGGTCATCGCCATCTCGAGCTCTCTGGCTCAGGTACACAGTAATCGCCAGGCAATGCAACATTCCTTGTTTAGAGGACTTCTCAGAATAGTATTATACCAGCTTCAATTTTGTATACAAGACAGTTTCAAGCCGTTAAGCAGACGACAGAAGAGATACGATAAGGGTAGAGATCTGAAAGGGAATAAAATTTGATGCGCCATGTGGGAATATCCTATAATGGGCACTGCAGACGACAGAATAGAAGAACGAACCTTTGGATTCATGAAGGTTGGGAACCCCCCGAACCTCATGATGACGGTCCATTGCCAGGCTTGGAGAGAGCCTCACGAAAGTATCCTAAACAAGTAGCAGTGAAGGTTAAATTATCAACCTACTGCCCCAGGAACCTGCAAGTGCAACTCCGACACGGGGGCACAAGCAGCGGCCATGCAGCAAGTGCTAGTATGGCTACTCGAGGACGAAGTAATCTGTGAGATGGAAGATCTTATTGGGGCACAGTGTGTATGTCGTTAGCACTTATGCAGTCCCACAACACATGAACACGTGTGAGTACTGTATGATGATCATATCATGATACAGATTAATAATAATCATGATAAGAATGGGTTGAAGGTGAGATGAACAGGCAACGAACGATCCAAGATGGACGAAAGTTGCCAAAGAGTGAGAGAGGATACGAATAATGGGAAGTGATCTATCATAGGAGTAAGATACCTCGACTAGAGAGGTACTTCTATCAGCACTACTCTATAGTTATCTAATATATTATCTATAATTATTACTCAGTCCAGCCTCAGCGCTATCGACTGTAGTGTAACTTTCTCTTGTCCGGTACCAACTTTGTCATAATGCATCTCTTCCTATCATTGTCGATCTTTTAGAAGAATTCGCCTTGTTCCAAACTTTGGTTGCAATCATCATAATCATCGCCGTTGTTGCCTTGCAGGATCGCGGATGAACTGCTTTGCCTCCTTTTCTATCAATAGATATCTAAATATTGACCTACTCTACGCTATCCACTGAATTATGCTGCCATAATTTCCTAGATAGATGTCATCATCATCATCATCATCATTCCTAATCGTATATACATCATGTCTACGCCCCCTTTGCCCCATTCGTGTAACCTCAACCAAGTGGCTTTATCACCCGGTCGCTGCTCTCACAATAAGCTCAAGGTCCCCACATCCATATGGACGAGATCAACAAAATAGAGAATTCTTTTCCCTAATAACTACGGACAAATAGTACGAAGGTTCAGTCCTTGCTATTCACAGTTTAATTGAAGTACATCGTCGATGGGCAAATTTGACCATCATCAGAGCTCCGGACGCCATGCCTTGTCTAGAACGCCTCAGAGATCATGTAAAACCGACAAACCTTCAGTATGCAATCCCAATAGCTGCAGAACTATCGTGCAATGTAGCCAGTCGCCCAGAAATGAAATAAAGAATGAGGATAACAGCACCATTACATGAGTGAGGAATAAAGCCACAATGAAACAAAGGAAAAATCTGACAAAACGAGGGGTCTAGTCGCTAGCTGTTTCCTTTCGCTGAACCGATTTCAAAGACCCGCGGTGCTCTCTGAGGTGCGAAAAAGAAAACAAATCTCGGAAAAGTTCAACCTTGAACATCGTTGACCAGCCTGGTAAGAAGTGCGTAGCCGAATATGAGGGCGAGACCAATCCAGATTTTGTTTCGACGAGCCCAGCTCTGACCTGCTTCTCGTGCGACCTGGCCACCCTCCATTACCGCGCCAAGTCCAGGCGCGCTGGCGTTTGGACGCCTGCGGAGTGCGCTTGTCTCTGGAGAGCACTTTGTGACTGAGGAGTTAGGGTCGGGTATCAGTTGCCCAGTGTTCGTATCAATGCGGTTTTCTCTCATCCATTGCCAATTCTCTTGATCTAGCTCCGGCCATTCGCTGCGGAACTTGAAGCCGCCATCTCCAGCCTTCACATTGTTGATTCCCCTCGCTGTGGGAGTCACTCCCGGGGTTGCGCTGATGTGAGAACCTCCACCTGTAGAGTTCCACCACCTTGAGCGCGCAGCCAACACTCTCCGTTCCGCCTCTGAGGCACTGACACTACCGGTTGTCATTTCTTCACTAGTCATGAAGGATAGAAGCCCGATCAGAATGGTGGAAACCTCCCAGGCTGGATTAAAGGACTTGGGATGAAAGTCACTGATACTAAGGCACAGGCGAGACGAAGGTTGAAACCGGCCACTTGGAGTGTGCATACGGATTGCCGGGGGCGCAAACGGGTACTCGGGAGGAAACATCAATGTGCCCCAGTATTGACCATTCTCGTAAGGTGTTCCGGGAGGACCAGTGAGAATATAATGCCATCTAGTCTCTTTTAGTCACCTTATTTTCATATATTAAGCAATGGATATGATGGAAGCACGGAAGACTTACTCGAGAATGTTGGACTCCGATGGATGCGCCACAATGTATGGCGGAGGATTCTTTTGAATGTTTTGATACTCGCGGGTGAGCTGGAAATTGTCAGAGCAAATTCAAAGGTACAATACTGTGTTGTAGATGAACGAACTCGCTTGTACGCTGCTTTCGTCGCCATCTTTGAGTGATGAATGAAATGATCTCCGTCACTTTCGGGGCTTGATAAAGTCGAGGGAGGGGTCCGGCTCCAGACACAATAACGCCAAATAGAGCAAAGTGAGCTGAGGGTATTAAAATTAAGACCAACAAAATCAAATGATATGAAAGAGAGAATAGGAAGGGTAGAATAGCCTCTGTTACCTGTATGATGAATTCTGCGGAGTGTCACTGATGTATGCGCTTGTAGTCCGAGGGGCGGTTATCAGTCACGTGAGGGTTATGGCTTCATTCTTGCGGCCGCGAGCATCTCGAAGACAACCGAAAAAGGACTGTACGAGGTCTCTTTGGCCATTGCAGCCGCAGCAATGTCCTCACCACTCTCCGCTGAAGATGAAGACGTATGTGAAATCATCGAAAATGTTCAAGCCCGTCTGTATAAGAGTATCAACTGATGCTCGCGTGTCATTTCATCATGTAGATCTTCGAGCGTCTTCAACAGCGAGCCGACCCGAAAGTACTTGAAGAGCAGCAGCAGGCCATCAACGAACGAGTTCATGCTATCTACCAAAAGGCGCAGATGCGTCTTGGAGAGCTGGTATGCCCTCAATTTCCTCTTATTTTATGCGATTCAATCTGCAATGAACGCCGGCCGAATACCTGGTTTACTGACCAACCTCTACATAATACCAGATCGACCAGAACTCAACTCTCCCATGCGCCATATCGTCGGTCCAAGTGCTTAATGCGACTCATACACGCAGAAGGTTCCTGCAGTCTATATTCGACCCACTTTTAAGCGTCAATCAATCACGGCCCTATACTCTCTCTGAGGCATTGCGGGAGATCTCATCTCGTGCAGACAAGCTCGCGAAATTCGGTTTGTCACTTTGACATGAAATAGTGTATTGGGCAGTTTCTGATATGCTCACAGACATCTTTCAGCAACCGATTTCAGTGTATATCGACCAGTCACCAGATGCGAACCCGCAAAATGGAATACCCAACATTGATGTCTTTTTCTCTGTTAAGGAAAAGTCCCGTGTACTCCTCAAGACGGGAACTGATCTTGGAAACACTGAAGGCTCGGCTTATGGAAATCTCCTCTGGCGCAATGTTTTTGGTGGTGCAGAGACTCTCAACCTGAATGCTTCTATGGGCACTAGGACGAGGTCTGCCTATCAAGCTGCTTTCGAAACCCCCCTTCTTAGCAATCCGGATTTCCGCTTCGAACTTGGTGGTATTGCGAGTTCGACGCAGAAGTCATGGGCGAGTCATGAAGAAGTACTAAAGGGTGGCTGGAGCAAGCTCCGCTGGCTCAGCCAATCCGGTCATCGCCATGAGATCGGATACAATGGTTTCTGGAGGCAGATTACGGGACTGGCTGAGAACGCCTCGCCCACGGTCCGGGCTGATGCAGGGGACAGTGTAAAGAGCAGTATTTTCCACAGCTGGATCGCTGATCGAAGAGATAACCCTCTCCTTCCATCCCGTGGCTACTACGCCAAGGCCTTCAACGAATTGGCCGGATGGGGACCCCTGAAGGGAGACGTCTCATTTTGGAAATCGGAGGTCGAAGCCCAGGGAGCAATTCCCATTCCAATCCCCGGAATTAAAGGTGACAGCGGCATCAGCTTCACAACCGGTTTCCGTGCGGGTCTTCTGTATCCTTTGGGACTGGACTCTGATTCCCGACCTCAGCTATCTCGCATCAATGACCGCTTCCTGCTCGGAGGCCCGACGGACGTCCGCGGCTTCCGCCTCTGTGGACTTGGTTCTCACGATGGAGCGGATGCTGTAGGAGGCGATGTGTATGCTGCGGGAAGTGCGAATCTACTCCTCCCTCTTCCTCGAGTCGGTGCGGACAAGCCTCTACGGCTGCAGGCGTTTGTGAACGGTGGCCGCCTGCTACCCCTGCGTACTTTGCAGAAGGAGGCTCCCACAAACAGCGCAGAAGTGAAAGACGCCATGGCTACTACGATTTCAGAGCTAGGAAATGGACTGCCTAGTGTTGCGGCAGGCATTGGCCTCGTGTACGCCCACCCTGTTGCACGATTTGAGCTGAACTTCTCGCTCCCACTGGTGTTGCGGAAGGGTGAGGAGGGCAGAAAGGGACTGCAACTCGGAATCGGTATCAATTTCCTGTAGAAAATATGTACTATGCATCAATTTTGAATAGAAATTTACAGCGTTCAGATCTGATCTAGTTCTTTGTATGGGGAAGCTGGGGCAACTGTCTGACTAAGCACATAGTGGAGGCAAGGGAGCTATTGAACACACAGCCGAAAGCTGTACTGTACGAACCACGACTTCCGCTCCAGGTCGATTTATGAAACTCTTCAAACAAAATTAGTCTATCATACTCCTCAGGCACTATCGCACTCAATTACCTCGGAGTCTCTGAGTCTACCTCTGCCGATCAAGCGCTCGATCGTCCTTGCAGTCCACTCTACATATTGGCCGCGATGGCCCAATACTATCCACAGCAACAGCCCTACGGGTCGCAGGCCTCCCCGCAGAATCTCCAGTTTTATCCTTCATCATACACCTCAGTATCAGGCCACACGACACCATCGCAAGCTTATGGCGGGTTTGGCGGGCCCTCGGGCTCCACTGCTCAGTCATATCCCGTTGGAGGGGTCGGGAGCGGATACGGTGGCTTTGGGTCCCCTGCCGCTGGAGTGAGTGGGAGGATGGGTGAACAGGGCGGATTAAGAACAGGATGGCTGGCGGCATTTGGCACGGAGGGCTACGAAGGGGAGCCGCCGCTGCTGGAGGAGCTGGGGGTAAATTTCGAGCATATCAGGACCAAGGTGGGTGATGGACTGTCCAGTGGTTTGATATCCGGCTGCGCGAAGAATGGAGACGTTGTGTTCGTATTTAGACAGAGAGAGGCTGATCTTTTCGGATCGCTCACAGACACTGACGGTGCTCAATCCCTTTGCTCGGATTGATCAGCATCTCATGGACGACAGCGATCTGTACGGGGCTCTCCTCTACATCGTGCTCTACGGGACATTCCTCCTTCTCTCGGGCAAGGTCTTCTACGGCTACATCTACGGCGTTGCCGTCTTCGGTACCGTCGCCCTGCATCTGATTCTCAGTCTCATGTCGCCCGCTCTCGATACCGCGTCTGCGCCCAATGCCGCAGACCCGTCCAACTACGACCCCCATCACAAGCCTACCATGTCCGACGCCTCTTCCGTGGGTCATTTTTCTGCCACCCTGACGTTTCCCCGGTCAGCCAGCGTTCTCGGTTACTGCTTCCTGCCCTTGGTTTTGACCAGTCTTGTGGGGATTCTGATACCGATGGATACTTTGTTTGGGTACTTGTTAACGACGGCCGCGGTCGGCTGGTGCACGTATAGTTCCTCGGGGATGTTCTGCGCTGTGGCCCGGATGCGTGGTATGAGAGGCTTGGTGGCGTACCCGCTTGCACTGTTCTATGTTGTCTTCGGCATCATGGGGATCTTCTCGTCCCGCGGTAGTGGTACTCTGGCCGCTAAAACGGGCGCCGCTTGAGGGCGAAACCCATCACTGTTCGTTACAAGGTTGGTCGTACTTCTTAGCCGGCCACTCGGGACTCATGTCTGCATGATCTGGTTTTTAGCCTCGTGTATTCTCTCACTGTCGAAATTCTTGTTCTGTGGGGATGAAGAAGCTCCATACTTATGATACATATCCTTTAGCCGATCGGTAAATGAACTTACATATTCTCTTCATAGAAGCAATGACATGAATTAATAGAGGAGATCGATAGATAAAGGTTTCAGGTAGAATGATCATATCATCAAAGCGTTCAATACTTAGGTTCTATATCCATATGACACCCTAGATCGCAGGTCTATGCACACCCAGTCAAATCATCTAATAGAACGTTTGTCCTCATCTTTAGCAGGCGCCCAATTTGTCAACCACTCTCGTGCTTTGTCAAGATCCCCAGCGGTGGCTTCAACAGCAGCAACACACCATGGCAGATCATATGCCTTCCCTCCGGTCATAGCTCCTTCGGCGGCAATCATCTCCGCCAGAATTCGTCGCTGCTGGCCGACTTGATCAGTGCAAAGGTAGAAAGGTGCAGTGTTCGGCGCATCCCTCCGGAGATTGATGGCGTCTATCAGGGGTCGCACCAAGGTCAAGATATCCGCGGCGCTCATCGACGTCGACCCGCCATCGCCGGTGTTGGATGAAAGCCGATGTTGCTTCCCTGTCTTGCAGTACTTGTTCTGACACCAGGGCTTCCCGCATCCTGACATCAGCTGAGAGAGATACCGGCGCTCGATGCGGCGACGAAGTGATTTTCCCTCGGGATCGTATGTATCTACGTAAAGAGGTCCGAAGCAGATACTGCAGAGGCCTAGCGTGTCGGTTCCTGGGGTGATTGTGCTCTGCACTACGCGCGCATCGAGCGTTCTGCCACAATTCTGGTTCAAACAGATACGGGGCGCTGGTCTCGAGACACGCTCGAGATCATGGTGGCGCAGGTGCGTCTTCATATCCCGGAGTCGAATGATTTTGTTGCAGAGATGGCATTCTGTCGTCCGGCCGCCGTCAACCAATTCATGCGGAGTGAGACCGGATAACAACACCTCAGGGTCGAGCATGTCAGGGTCTGTCTCTCCTCTCTGCGGTACAACAAGATGACAGAATTGACATAGAATTGGCTTCTCTGGACATACAGTCGTGCGATGTTGAGCGAGGCTCGGGAGACTGTCGGCTTCGAATCCACAACCAGGACATGAGTGTCTGGTATGGAAGATACCGTCATGCCTATGTTTGCTAGAAAGATCATTACCGTGGGTCGAATCCTGAGGGCAGTGCCAATGATTTTCCCATTCTGGAGAGCGCTTCTGGAAGACATTGCCGCACTGAGGACAGAGCACATTATTGCGCAAACAAAAGTTCTCGTGCAGAACAAGCGTCCTCTGTGGCACCCATTGATGACAGTTCTTGCACTGCACATCGCCGGGTTCATGAGTATCTGACTGGTCTCCCGCCTGTTCCACCCCTTGAACAGTTGAAGAGCTTTGCACGACCCGGATACTATAACGATGTGGTGAGATCTGGGTTGATGCCACCCCGTCACCAGCCTCAGTTTGAGCATACGCATGTACCGAAAGATACAGCGCCTCGGCCCCGTCTAGCTCGACATTTGTTGGCCGGATACGAAGCTTTTTTGACGGTTGGCTTGAGAAGTCGGCAAAAACGTGCTCGTCCAACCTGGGTCGATTCCGCTGACGCGAGGAGAACGGGCTTGCGAACAAATAGATAACTGCGTCATCTATTCCTTCAAGTTCAACTTCGATCATCTCCTCACGATCCCATTTGCTGAGGTCGTAGTCCACGTATTCGCCCGGGATTACCTGGCCAGCGACTGTTTCCCCCAGGGCGAGAACCCCGCCTATTGAGCTGCCCCCTTTGGTGCCGCGAGCACGAGAAGCTTTCTCTAACCGTCTTTGCAATGTCTCTCTTGCCTGGTCTTCAGTTAACGCCACAATGTCAACTTCCAGATCTGTATCCACGACGCAAATGCCGTCGCCTTCGGGTTCCACCTTGTCGACGAGAAATCTAAACAGTTCGTTCCGACTCCCGGACACCGAAAGGAGTTCCCCGGTAGTCAAAGTAGTGAAATTGTCACGTAAATATCGCTCCAGCAAAGCTTTCCAGTCCTCTGGGTCGTATCCAGCTTCGAGAGGGCGTAGGCGAACATAGGTGCCTTTTGGCAACTGCTTGGCATGGACTGTAACTGTGGGGGCTGAATGGCTGGTCGAGCGAACATATTCTGATCTTCCTCCATTGTTCAAATCCGTAGACTGCGCCGTCTCGGTCACATGTTCACCGGTTTGTAATTGGGATAGCTCATCCTCGATGTCAAGAGCCCGTCGTAGAAAAGCGCTGAGACCCACTTCTTCCTCTTCAGCTGAGAACTCCCGTATCCCTGCATATATTGCACGATCATTTTTGGGGTTCACGAGTCGGAAAGTCAGTGGATGAGGTAACTGCTTTTGGCGGTCAAGATGCTGCGCTCGAGCTCGCGATTCGGCGGCGAATGTGTGAGGATTGAACGGGTCAAAGGTACTGGTGTATTGGCGCGAGGAACCCTGAGACGACACATCGCTCAACGGAGCAGCGGCCAGAAGCTGCTCGAGGGCCGATTGTGGCAGTGTAATCTTATCTCCAGGTAACTTGGGTGTGCGCTGTGGTGGAGCAACGAAGAACTGGGATGACCACTGCAATGAATCTTGCTCCCTAGCCATGATTTAGACACGGGACGTTATCAAAAATGGGGCGACAAAAAAGGAATCTGTTGTGAGACATCTTATGTCCCATCAGTGCGCATGCAGTTGAAATCCATCGCCGCCATCGAACAGTTGCGGTTGTTCTGGAAGATGCTCCGCTTATCAATAACAATGCACCTCGTGGGGAAATTTTGCCCCTCCGTATTGATTACGACATCATGCTGGTTGCCTACAAGAAATATACTCAACTCACGGAAGAGTGGACTGTCTCGTCTTGAATTGCGAAGAAAAGAGAGAAATAGCCAGAATGGTGAGAAACAAGAAAAAGAGGGGGAGATGGGGTTTCAAAAGACCTATTCAACGGAGCTCCATTCCCATGGGAAGCAGTTTCAAGAACAGCACGCTTCCCCACAAAGACTGAAACAGGAGAGGACAGCGGAGATTCAAAGTATTCAAGGGGGATATCTAGCGACTGATGGAGTTGAAGCAAGCCGGCTAACCTCAGTCCGCTGTAAATTCAGTTCCAAAAAAATTCACCCGCAACATTCATATCATGGTCATAATCAGTCGTCACAGTGTTCATGTTAAAATGTCAATAGGGGCCTCGCAAAGCTACCTCAACATCCGCGGATATCTCTCGAAAACGTGCTAATAAACTTGCCTAAGCCGATGGCGCGAACTGGTGTTGCACCAGTCACACTGGTACCATTTCAATTAACTTTGCCTTACAGGTTGTCGTTGGGAATCAATTGCAACACCTACCATTGTCGAAGAGCAGCCCTCGTTGTGCTCAATGCAGTATAGTCCTTGGCAGTGTTGGCACGTTCGTTGGCAATCAAGTTTGCATGCGGCGCACTGAAGATACCGTCAGTTGAAAGCTTCGAGATTTTCGTGTTTTCCCCTTTTTCCACTGCCCCCTTCCCGCTCGTTCATGAGAAATGCTTACAGTAGGGCCACATTCCCAGCAATCCTTGCTCACTCCAAGTTCCAGTCTCTAGGATCCTTAGTCAGTGAACTGCCGTATCACCCCGGCTCTGAACATGCGCATATTCAAGCTTGCATACCTGAGACGGGTCATTGCTGCTGAGAGAAGCTCTCATTGCAGTCTGATGCGGTGAAAGATTAGAGCTCACACGTTGTGGATGCGGTAGGCAGTCGGCGCAAAACCATTTGTTGCAACGGTGGCACCAGCGATCGGTAAGGCATTCTGCACAGCGGGCAATCAGGGCAGGATGTTCCGCCCCTGGAAAAAGCGAAGGGCGCTTCGCCGCCACAATAGAGGATGAGTGAAAAGGGGGCGGAGTGAGCAGAGGAAAGGTGTCCTCTGGACCCTGTCCCCAGATCGCTGGACCCTCGGGAGAGCTGTGACAACCGTCACATCCACGAGAACCGAGGGCAACAGTAGCAATCGCTGGACCGAGCAAGTGGCCTTCATTCTGAGACCCATTCTGGCTAACCAACATAGCATTTGGGTCATGTCTTGGCCCACGGCACAGCACGGCGTCAAAAGCGATGATGCCGTGGCATCTCTGAATTGTCTGTGCCCAGCCTTCCTCGATGCTAGCGGTCAGTAACCTGCCGGACGGCGAGTACCAGGCGTTCTGCCGGTAAGTTTCACGGGCCTGGTCATGTTGAGGCGATGGCTGTCTCGCTTCCACCGGCGTTTGACCGGCACACCTTGAACTCCACCAGTTGCGGTACCTGCTTCGTGCTGCAGCTTGTGCCAGATTCGGTGGCGTGAAAAAATAGATCCCTTTCACCCGGGGGGTGCCGGCAGGGCGAGTCGGACGCACGGCATATTGAAGGACTTGCATAAGTTTACGTTCATTCAAATGTTGACACCCTCTGATAGACAGGATGTTCACACTGAAGCGGTCACTCAGCAAAATGTCTGCTATAAGGTCCGCCGGAACCGGTAAACCGTCCAAGATCAAGGTGCGCACGTCCTGTAAAAGCGACTTGTGCTCGAGTTTTGCGAAAATCTTCTTTAAGGGGGCCGAGTAGAACTCGTCCTCGGTAAGAGACTCGTTTATGAGTTCAGTATCCAAGGCCTGACCTCTACCGTCAACTGTCGAACTCCTCTGCAGCTGCGCCCCACGACACCTACTTAGGTCAAGATGCCGAAAGACGTAAGGCGTCTCCATAATCACGGATCGGAGGGCGCGGCATGTTGATGCCAATGAGAACAGGCCCGAAACCGACAAATAAGGAGCAATATGATCAAGGATCAAGCTATTGGACAGCACATCGGTGAGAGATGCTGGCTTTGACGGAATCACGGTCACAGAGCACTGAATCTCCTCCTGGGGAACCTCTTCTTCTTCGGAGGCTACCTGCACCTCCCGAACGACTGGGACAAGGCCTAGTTCCTTTGGTGTCAATCGTCGAGTTCCGTAGTAGAAGTCCGGGGCACGCCCAATGAGATTTTGACGATAGGCGGCGATGGCACCAATGGCAAGCTCATCCCCAGCAGTGAACCTGGGAGGTGCGTTGGGCTGAATTTCCTTGAGAGCAGCCCTGGCTTTGGCCAGCTCATTTTCGAGTAGGTTGATAGTTGATTGTAGGACAGCCGGCATGGCTTTGATGTTAACTGGATCGATGGCAGTGACTAATGAATACCATAGTTCGCCTTCGGCCATCATACACGATTGAACCCCGCGGAGTCGGCCAAAGTTGCAGCAAACAGACCCGATGTGTTAAGAGGAGTTAGGACCTTAGAGACATCGATCAGTTAAAAGGAAGACGAAGTGAAAAGGAGGCGAGGAGTGGCGATTGTAAAAAATAATGACAAACGTTCAATGATATGTGTGCTTGAATGCTGTATATATATATATATATATATATATATATATTAATATTAAGTATAGCCGGATAAATTGGCCACCAGATTGATGTGATAATTAATGATGGTAACATAATACAAGGCAAGATAGCGGTAGTACTGTCAGTACTAGCGTGGGACCATGACTGATGTAGATCATGTAGTAAGAAAATAAGTTGTCTATTCCGAAAGATGGGAAAAAAAAGATGGGGGGTTGCGAAGTCGAATGAGAATTGACATTGAATGCAGCCACTTTCGAAAGATGATACCGGTGAACAATAATGGCAGCAGCCAGTTGTGGATGACGGACGGATGGATGAATCAAAGCTTACCTTCAGTCCTTCAATCATTAACTACCTTGAGACACTAAGGTACCTTAATTGTATGGTCCGGGGGATACGGAGGATGGAGTAGCGAGATACGGAAGGACTAAAAGAGCAAGTCCGGGGAATGCACCATATAACAAGCGAGCTTTGTCTTCTAGAAAGCTGGTGGAAGACTCTGAAGAGCGCAGCGAACGGAGTGGACAGACAAGGGATAAAGTAGCCACTTGGATTGACAAGTAAAGAACGAACTGTTTTTGCTAGAGAAGAGACGGAAGAAGATCTTTATATACTTCGGCATTTAAGAGAGATCCTATCATTTAAGGCACGGAGGTACAGACGTAGGATTTTGATTATTGATTGCATTATGTCGTACAGAAGACACAGAGATAGGAGCCACTTCACTTTTCCGGATAAAATCTGTAGATGAGCCAAGAATGATTGTCGGTTACTTTTTTTTGCCTTAGGGATATTACGATCTCTGATCTTTACTGTGCCAACGATAGGTTAGTACCTATCCAGGTACAGTAAATGGAAAGAAGTTCCATGATAATGAAAAGGGTGAGCCCACTGCGGAGAATGGGAAGAGTCTTAAGTTACGGAGGAATCTCATCCACCAGAGAGGGACTAAAACCAGGGACTAGGGAGACACAGTCCGCTCTATCCGTGTCGGAGAATCTGACGGCGAGAGTGCAGGACTCTTAGAACAGGTAGAGAAGTTGCAGATGATCTGGCAACCGATCAGGAAACAAAGGGAAGCAAGCTATCATTGGTTGGGAGTATTCGGAGAAGGGCGCGGATTTCGTTGATCCTGGCCACATGTGGATAAACTCCAGAATCAGGATGGACTGATAATTAACCTCTATTGACTTGGCCAAACCGGCGGAACGAGCAGCGCAAGGGGAGGCACAGCCCAGCCGCACGAGGAGACCTAAGATTGGACGGACTGAAGGACAAGGGTGGAATATACGGAACTCACATAGGCAGGTATCATGTAGGTTATCCATTGTACTCGGAGAAACATTTGTTCTTGGAAGGGGCCGAATCGCCCGAGACGACGGATGCCATACAGAGAAGACACGTATGTGAGTATCACGGATGGAGGAATCCGTCTACCAGAAGGGCGGTCTTCAGCCTTTACTGTAAATAAGTTCCTCTCTAATTGATGTCGTCGTGCTCTTCTTACCATTATTATTACCTATTATGATGACCTGATTCCTCTCTAATAGTGCAGTTTGTTTGCGGTCTGTAAGGTAATCTTACTTCAATAATACTTTGGCACAGGTACAGGTCATCAGATCTGGTGTGCCCCACCAAAGCCGAGACCCTTCAAAAAGAGGACCCACTCCTAGTCACGCGTATGCCACAAAGGCTCCCCTCAGGAAAGATGTTTTGAACAACGCGTCAACTGGCTACCTGCCTATTGCTGTTGTATAGATACTTTATTCCATATTGGAAGAAGGATACTGGCTTAACAGCGAACACTTAGTATGAAAAGCACTTGTGCATCTTCATTGTTGGTTATCTTTGCCTCAAACCCGTGGATAGGGTAGGCTACCTACATCATACTGCCATTCTCTTACTGTACTATTCAAGTAATTACCTGTAGCTACGTAGAGAGGTAAGAGACTAAAGAGGCACTTACTCTGGAAATAGAATGATCGTCGAGCAAGCGAAGATCCTTGCAGATCATTTACCTACTCACAGAGTCGCAATAGAGTACATACGGTAGAAAGTCTACATATCTATCCGCTATTTCTATGCACCGGCTAGATCAATCAAGTTATTGTCGATTGAGATAAGACCATAGCTATGACAACGATAGCGGTAGGCTAGGCAGTTTTTACTACCTTACTTGGACCACATACCAACATCCTTTCCTCATCCTCCTTGATATTCTTGGCTGCTTTGCTTGGCAGAGCCTGAGTAGGGGTCCTAACTTCATCTATATTTGCCAAGTCTGTCGAGTTATTAATGGGTGGTCAATAGTTTCTCAATAGTGACATCTGGGTATTCTTGATAGTCGAAGAATCAAGACATCCATTACCCAGGAAAGTATCTTGGGAGTCTATCTAGGACTGACGAGTGAGTATCCAGTTGCTTCAATCTCGCATAGGCTGTGGGATGGATATTTGTAGACTGTACAGTATGTTCCGTCGATCTAATTAAGAATATGCAAGGCATGGCGGAATATGGACCGTCTTTTTCTCGCCAAGATCTACCGTGCGACCTACCACTATCTACGACGTGTCGATGTAGGAATGTTACAAATCGACCTCAACCCGTTTGCCCGTGTCCTACGTCTAGGTTGAGACAGCAGGGAGCATGAGAGCCCAACACCCGCCGGCTAGATGTTTGATCCACGTCATCTATAGGCTACATACACCCTGGGATCGTAGACTTGGTGTAATGTTATGCACGTCAATCGCCCCTTTGTCTGGGCAGTTGGCCATCTACATTATGCAAAGCCCAAGTCATCATGAAGCAGCAAATGCCATGTATTCGCTGGAGGACGTAAAGTAATGGTGTGGATCGTGCTGAAAGTAGAACTATTATTACATGTCGTCCGTCGCCGTTCCCTGAGAGTTTCGCTTCAGCGGTTGAACCACTTCCGCTCCCCTCCCTTTCTCGAGAACTTCTGCGCGCTCTACTTGAATAATTTGGAGACAGCAACCTCCTTGTCATCGTGTTTGTTGAGAATCTTGGCAGTGGCCAGGTCAAAATCTTCTTGTGTGACGTGGACTCGCCGTTCCCGAAGCGCGTACATGCCTGCCTCGGTGCATACACCCTTCAGTTCTGCTCCCGAGCATCCATTCATCTTCTCCGCAATCTTCGTCAAGTTGATGCCTCGCGTCAGATTCATCGACCGTGAGTGAATGCGTAGAATATCGGCACGAGCTTCCACCCTATCACCGAAAAGAGATGAATTAGTAAAGTCACAAACATAAAAACTTCTCGTAGAGAAGAAGAGGTTGGATAAAAGACGGATTGAATCTTACGACGGTGGTGGAAACTCGATCTTGCGGTCAATTCTTCCGGGCCGCAACAAAGCGGGATCAAGGATATCAAGTCGATTTGTAGCCATGATGATTTTGATGTTTTTTGTGGGCTCAAACCCATCCAACTGATTGAGCAGCTCCAACATTGTACGCTGCACTTCCGAATCGCCAGAGCCAGCCGTGTCTATACGGCTGGAACCGATACTGTCAATCTCGTCCATGAAGATAATGCTTGGTGCGTGTTCTCGAGCCATGACGAATAGCTCGCGCACCATGCGACTGCCCTCACCAATGTATTTCTGAACGAGTTCCGACCCGCTGACCCTGATGAATCGGCAATCTGTGTGATGGGCTACCGCTCGGGCGAGCAGTGTTTTACCAGTTCCGGGCGGCCCGTAAAGAAGGACACCTTTGGGCTGCGCGATACCAAGAGATTCGAACAATTCCGGGTGCTTGAGACCAAGCTCAATGACTTCCTTGATCTCCTTAATTTGTTGATCAAGGCCTCCGATCATATCGTATGTGCTGTCAGGCACCTTCTCGACCATCATAAGCGAAACGAGCGGATCGACAGATGATGGCAGCATCTTCTCTAATTTATAAGAGTCGGAAAGCAACGCGACACGCTTGCCTACAGTAAGCTTCGTAATATCGACCCCGTCTGCAATGTCGACGACTACAGCACCACATTCAAAGTTAGCATTTCACACTATGACCTCCATCAACGGCCCGAGGCAAAGGCAGAGCCTAAAACGTACCATATTTTCCTTCTGGATGTACCTTGACAAGAACCTTCTTGGTGCTCATCACCTTCACGACCTCTCCCACATAAGAACCAGGTTGTTGAAGCAAGCCCAACTCCTCTCGTAGTAGACGAACTCGCGAATTATAGTCGTTGCGCTGTGCTTCTAGTCGACGTAAAACAGCCTGACCTTGGATAATCTCGAGCTTCATGCTCTCGATCTTATTGCGATAGTAGTTGTCCAGCGCCATGGCGGATGTCGGTCGATAACGCTCCTCTTGATCCACAAGCTGCTGACCACACGACGACCGATACTTTGGCGAATTTACCAATTCAAACGCAAGAGAAAACAAAGTATGCCAAAAAATCAGGAGCCAAATGCGTGAGGATGGACAGGAATTAGAGGACTTATGGATGGTTGGGCGGAGAGAAATGTCCTGGAAGCAGCTAGCAAGTAGGAGAAGGTGAGCTGTACCTAGTTAGTAGGCAGATACCTAGCTGATATCAGCAATAGGAGCACCAGCCACTCCTTGGCAGCCACACTTCTGATATGTAAGTGTGGCGGCGCCAAATATCGGGAAAAATAAGGTCCGCTGAACTGACTAGGTAATGCTGGACCACAGATGCGGTCATTCATCCACCAAATGGCCCCGTCATTCATGCCTGAGGTCAAAAGGTGGATACCCAGGCTGTTAAGGACTAAAGTACCTAACTGACAGGCTGACACCAAACCTAATGATGATCCAAACTCGAA